ATGATGAAGGAATGAATGAATGAGAAATCATTTATCAGGGGCTGACTATGTGCCAAACACGATGCTAAGTGCCGGGGACATGAAAATGAGCAAGGAGGACGAGGTGGCTCGCCTGCCCTAGGCAGGGCTGCTAGGGAGGATGGCGGGCCCCTTCCTCCCAGGAGCTGCTGGCAGCGCTGAGCTGGAAGCAGGAGATGTGGTCTGGGGCTGCTGTACCAAAGGGCTCTGGGGCCCATTTGTCTGATGATGGGGAGGTGAGAAGTGAGTCAGGGACCAGGCCAGCTAGGGTGGCAAGAGCCTGAATTCACACGAGATGTGATGAGCCCAGACAGCAGGTGTCACTGCTTGGAGATGCACAGTGCGCCAGGTACAGAATTGAGATAAAATGAAAACCAAGGCACCAGGAATGAGAAAAAAAATTTCCAAGGGAGAAGGCTGAATGGCTTGGGAGTGGGGAGGAAGTACTACGCGTGTAGTCTTCATATCCGTGATGTCACAGGCCCATCAATGATTAAAAATGATTACTAGCAGAACTCTACCAAGTCCCAGGCATGGAGGGTACCTTGGGACTTCAAAGACTTCCCCCGAATACTGCAAGGTCTGGCAGGCCCTACTGAGGCAGCACGGCTTCCGGTATTTTGGAGAATCGACCCTGTTTGGTTTGCAGAGAGAGGCTCTTCATCAGGCTGGCCACCTCAACTCACAAAGGCAATCCACCAAAGTGGGAGAAGCTGAGATGGGCATCCACAGCAGGAATACCCACAAGAAGAAATCACAGCCTCACAGTACTGCAGTACTAACATTTGTAAAGAACAAGAGACTACTACAAAATTAATACGAGTCACATTCACTATCTTCTTTTAACACATTACTACTTTGCCACAACCTAAAGCTACCATGTGCTCAATATTAAGGAAACGATTTCAGTGGAACAGCACAGTAAAGAAAGTCCAAAGCCTTTAGCCTGACAGCAAAGACCATTTCTAACTGGGCTTCACCATCCTTCTCCACTGTTGTTTCTTCCCTCGGAGAAAACGTCAGGAGCCCAAAGCTGGTCGTAAACTTCAGAAATCAAAAGGGAAGGCAATGCTTGCTCCACTAGGGCTCAAAAGGATGTCATGATGATCCCAGTGTGACAACCAAATGTGAAAACCGCAGTTCTGCTAGGACTCACCCTTGGACAGGTGCCTGACTTCCCAGCAGTGCCCAAAGGATCCCACAGCCCCTGCATCACCACCAGTGCCCACCTTTCCTCGAGGGTTGCCTGGCGGCTATTTTGAACATTTCTTGAATACACCAATATATGTACACGTTGTCTCCATAGGAATATAAGTTTCTGGAGAGCAAGGACTATTTTTCACACAGAAATTATTTAGTAACCACTTACTGACTGAATTTGGACATTTCTTGTACATTTGGACTGTGCCTGCTTCTTAATCAAAATAATTAACCACTTCCAGTCAGCCTTAGCCAGAGTCAGGCCGTGCTGGGTTCCAGGCTCACTCCTAACAACGTCCTGAGCTCTGTGACTCTGGTGAAGTCGCAGCCTCTACATGCCGTATAAAAGTCTCTACGGCTGAAAGCTGAAGATCTGCACTTGTGGAGGGAGTCTCCTCATCAGGTGCCCCTACACCAGAGGTATCAAACCACCAGCCCACACAGACTCAAATGTAAAGGGGAACGTTTAATGATGTCAACAAAAACACAACACAGCATGGACTTTACAGCTCCACTCACTACCCTACTCAACCACCTTAAACTCATTGTTCCAGTCACTAGTCCTATCCCCATCTATAAGGATGAAGTAGTTAGTAGCTTTTGTTGGTTTTTAATCTTTATTTTAAATAGGACATTTTTGCTTTTAAGTAGAATTAGAAATAACCAACCTATGTGCTTTACTTTGTTTTTTTTTTTTAAGCAGTCAAAAGAATGAGTGAGTGCTGTTTTCTGGTCTGTCCATCCCCAGCTCCCTGCAATAATCTGTACCAAATCTGGCAGAAAGATGGAGCTTTGACAACTCTACTTAGCCAACTGGTAGCAGCTACCTGAGGCTGCTACATAGCAGATGAAAAGCTGTTGTGTTTAAACTCCTAGATCAAGCACTTATCTTGTGATTTCCAATCCCTTTTCAGTAACAGAAATTTCACAGCATGATTTTACTGTCTGCTCCGCAAGAACTAAGTACTACTCGCCATTCTGGAATGACCTACTATTTGCTTTGGCTACGAGGTTCCAGAGGGCAGGGACCCTCTCACCACAGACTATGGTGTCTCACCTCACTGCTCTGGCTCAGGCGCTGCCCTGGGTCTTCTCTCTCCTATCTGTGCCTGACAGCTCTTAAGAACCAACTCAAAGACAACTCCAGCGAGAAGCCCGGTGGATCCCATTAGTCGGTAATGACCTCCCTCTTGAGAGGTCACAGACAATATTTTTTTTCACCTCTCTAAAGTACTTATTAGGTAATACTGTGTTACAGTCATCTGTGTTAGTGTCTAATCTCAAAATCAGCCAAAAAGTCTTTGAGACAAGATAGTCTCTTAGCTAAACTTCCCTTCGCACAAGTAACAGTGCTCTGCATACAACAGAGGTTTGTGGATTGATCAATTTCTAGGGTAAGCACTTGATTTAGTGTGGTATAAAATACAGCGTTCAATTAATGTTGAACTGAGTGGAACTAAATTTCCACGAATCAGCTTTATACCCCTTTAAGAGATAGTATATATCACACAGATTGCTGAAAAGATCAAATGAGAAAACAGGCATAAAGCACTTTGTAAACCATAAAGTACTGTGTAAATGCCACCTTTTATTGTGAGCTTTAAGCACGAGATTATGTCTTTGGCTACTTCATTAGGAGTTCAACCTCAATGGCCAAGATGGCAGAAGTGCTTTCTTACCAGAGAACACAAAACAATGTGGCCCAGGGGAGGCTGGCTTAAAATATTCTGAGCAACCCTGAGCAAATCAAAAATCTTACAGTACCTGGAATACAAGCCTGTAGATTAGTAACTGCTACAAAATGGTACAACATTCAAGTTTTACAAATTTAGCTTTAATTAGTTTTTACCTACCAATACTATTTCCACATTTCCTCATTAATTTGAAGAATTACCTCATGAAAATTAGGCTAAGTTTCATCCTCACGACTGCTGCAGGACTTTTAATGGGTTTGTTGTTTGGGGCTTTCAAGCCAGCCTAAATTGGAAATATTAAAATTCAATTTTTCTTTTAAAAGTCTAAAGATATGTTTGATTATACTTTCACTGCAATAGATTAACTCAAGACTGCTCAATGGTTCAATTTCTCAATTATTTAAAGAGAGAGAAAAATGCACTAGCAAAAATGGAAGCATAACAGAATTATTCTCATTTCTTAAAAATAAACCCTTGGAAATAGAAAATGTGTATCAATTTTGAATAGTAATAACAACAGGAAGATTATAAATATACTTGTGATAATGTAAATGTTTACATTTTAAATAAATCAAGGATCCTTTACCAAGCACTCAATAAGCCTTAAATAATGCAATCAGGCTTTCAAAATGTTCTCAAAATATATACAAAGCAGTAAGATTTTATTTCAAGTTATCATATTAAAACAGGAGTTGTCTTCTGCTGTGAACTATAGTCATCAGGGCTGTTAATACAGGACTTTTATCCAAATATAAACTGTACGACGCTATCTAAGATTCTTTTTAGGTCTAAGAACAACCCTGGTAGAAGACTACTTGCTAATAAGCCTTAGTCCCCAGCCCTCAAAAAGTCCAAAGATCTCACTGGATCTGCTCTTCTAGTCACCTGTGTTATCTTTAATCATATTTTCCAAGTTTATTAATGTATGTTTTATAAAAGTCTTATTAGCATCAAGTAAAATTTTATCTATCATTTCTCTCAATCTGCTGGACTTGTTATTCAAGGAAATTAGAATGATGTGGCAAGATAGCCATCCTACTGTGTTAAATATTACTCAGTTTCCCTCGAGTTTTGGCAACCGATTTTGCGATGATTTTTCAAATACAAAGAAGTGAGTCTACACTGAAGTCCTTTATGATGGCTCATTGTGACCTAGAGGTGACCTTGACTTCTGAACAATTATGGCTGTAGAGCACAAGCTCAGGCAGGTCCTAACCACATGTGAATTCCATGAGTATGAGGGCCTAGAGATAGCCTTTGTTTCATGAAAAGACCAGCCAGCCAAAGTTTAGAGGGGCTAATCCCCAGAGACTGGCACCCTGCTGATGAACTGTCTTAGCCACCACAACCAGGAAGACTATCTACTTCTAGCATGAAGAGGTTACATATAATCTGTACCTGAAGAGGAGGCTTTTAAGTTTACAATTACCAGGGTCTTATCTTTACATAACAGAAAGATTTGCTTTCTTTGTCTTAGTCTTCCAGAGTTCTGTCAATATGAAAAAGCAGTGAACTACAATAGAGGAGAACAAGGAAATTTCTGGGGGACAAACCCTGGCCCCCTAACGAAAGCAATTCCAGACCCAGCCAGAAGACAGAAGTAGCAATTCTTTTACTATTTCCAGGGAAAACTATTTCTGGTCCAAAAAGCTTTGAACTAATAACTGCATGTCCAATGAGACTCTTCACACAAAAATCAAAGATGATAAAATTCTCATTACAGATACGTAAAATACAAAAAGAATATTTTTATTGAATCTAAACTGTAACCAACACCATATATTTTCCTCTAGATTTGGTGCTTAAATGTATATGCTGCCTTGTGACTTGACTAGCTTACATTTTTTATTGCACCGAGTCAAAATCCCAAAGAAATTTTGAGCTGGTGAAAAAAAATCCTTCTACTTACAGCTTTGTATGGCTTATCTGGAACTAGAATAAACTGGTTAGGCATTCCTAAAACACTCAAAATAAGTTCTGCTTGGATTCCTTAGCTCATTTTACCATTTTAGTGAAGGCAACCATGTAGACAGTTGTGTGTGAGTACCAAGTGGAAAGAGATCATATATCAAACCCTACATCACTCACCATTTCTCCGAGAGGCCTTCTGCACTGAGACAGGTGGGCAGCTCTGCACAGGTGCTGTATTGGGAGGTGCAGCAGTCACTGAATGGTTAGCTTTCACTTTGTCAGCCCAACTTACGCCTGCCGGAGCAAGCCGAGTGGCAGCCATTGCCCCAGATGGACCCCTAGAGAAACAATGATTATATTAATAACTTAGATAGAAGACTCTTTATTCCAACAACAAATGGGATAAAATCATAGTGGACTTTGTCCAACATATACCGTCTATTCTCTTAGTTGGTTGTTAATTTTCAGAAAACCATGTATGGCACAATTCCATTTGAGTTTTTTGGGGGAAGGGACATGGACGTGTGTTAAGGTTTCCTTTCTTAAAGAAAGATCTACTACAAAATTCAATGCACTGGCACCAGTGCATGAAGCCCTAAAGTGAATGTGTCTATATAAATGTTCGAGGTTGGGTTTTTGTTTGTTGTTTCGTTCATCTGTTTGTTTTTGCATTCGTTCATTCACTCAAACATCTAAGTGCTGGACAAAGTTAAACGAGGCATGGTCTCTGCCCCTGAGAAAGTTATAATCCAGTTAGTAACTATAGTGTAAAATAAAATGTAAATGCACTAAAGAAATAAAAGCAAGCCTCTGTAAGAATTTGAAAGATGGAGAAATCATAGGATGTACACCTAGAAAGAACTTCAGATACGATCTATTCTAGGCCCCTCAGTCTATTTATAAACAGGGAAATAACCCCAGAGGAGTGAAGTCACTCCCTCAAAGTCCCAGGGATAATAAGGAGCAGTGGCAGGTCCTATAATGTGAATGGGAGAGTTCTGCACAGAGAAATGACCAGGATTACGGGACCAGAAACCATGCCGTTCCAGGAACCACTGACAAAACAGGGAATGTTTAGCCTAGAAAATAGAAGACTTGGAGGATCATGATCAAGATCTTGGGAATAATTAAAGGGTTATCAGGAGGAGAAGAGCTCAGATCTTTTCTGCTTGGCCCCTCAAAGCAGCACTAGAAATAACAGGTGGAAACTGCAAAAAAGCAGATTTCTACTCAACAGAAGGTCTGGCATCCTAACAAGAAAGCTATCCCCAAAAGGAATGAAGTACCTTTGGAGGTCATGAGTTATTCATCACTGGGAAGGTCTTTAGGACCATTTGTCATGGACGCTGTAAAGGAGACTGCTGGTCAGGTCTGGTGGGGACTAGAATGTCTCAGAAGGCCCTTCTAGCTGGAGAGCCTATGACGCTATCATCTCTCCCATCCACCCCAGGACAGAAATGCCCTCATGTGTCTTGCCCTGCTAATAAATCCCACCAAAGGGAAGATTTCCCTCTAGTTATACCCTTTGTGTTAGCCGTACAAAGAGGCTGGAAACTAGAATGAGTAGGTTCATTGAGAACATAACAAATGAGGACAGGCTGGAGAGATGGGGGGAGAAGGGTTTTTGCCTAGAAAAGACTAGGGGAAGAGGGAGAGGAGGAGATGCCAACTGTCTTCAAGAACTGGGAATGCTTTCACGTAGAGGGATATGATTTGTTCTGCTTAGGCCCCAGAGGTGATACTAGATAGAAAGCAAGGAATAGAAGCTTCAAAGGCAGAGTTCAGCTTGACATAAGAGAGGTGTCCTAAAGCTGAATGGCTACTCTCACAATTAGAGGTTTTAAAGAGGGTCTAGATGAACATCTCTTTGTGACGCTATAGAGCAGATGGCTGCTCAAGGAGAGGTGGGGCCGGATGACCTCAAGAGCTCCCAGGTGGAGAATTTGTGTAAGAAGAAGAGGGAGGGCTTTCTGGAACACACAGCATCTTTTCTAGGGGCAGCAAGGCACTGATGGAAGAGCAAGATTTAAACAAGTAGAGAATGAAAAGAAAGAAGAGTCTTTAGAGTTGGAAGGGTCCCCACGAGGTCAAGTCCAACTCAGCCACGAGCAAGAACCTGAACTACAGTGTCTCCAACAAGATGCCATCAAGCCTCTACCTGAAGGCCCATCGCAATAAAGAACCCACTAAGGGCAAGCCATCCCCTTTCCGGCTGCTCTATTTTCAGGGAAGTTCTTCTTTATAACCAGCTAAACTCTGACTCTACAAAACATATAACCATGGCTTCTAGGTCTACTTCTGGAGGCAAACAAAAGAAGTCTAATATCTCTTGGTCCTTACACTCCAGCATGTCGATGGCCATAAGATCTCATCAATGCAAGCATTCCCTCCAATGACGCAGCTCATAGTCTATCTATGTAAGATCATCTGATGTGACCCTCGTCTGCATCTTACTAAAAATCCCTTGTGGGGCTCCCCTCAACACACCAGGAGCCTTGGCACTGCCAAATGCCCATGGATTACACCAACTCTCCAGCAGCAGCCCCAATCATACAATCATCTAATGACATCTTCAACCACTACTTTTGTGGTACAACTCCTCATTTGTAGGTGGTTGCAGTCTGCCTGTAACTAGTATGCCCTTCAAACGATGCTTAACTTCGTCTCTTTGGAGACTGCATTATTCTCTGACTCGCACCTATACAACATCACTAGCCAAACTCTGGTGCCAAAGAAAGAACAACTTCCATTTCAAGGTCACTAAAAAATTTTTTTATTTATTTTCCCAAAAGCAATGCAACCTAACCTCCTCCTCTGCCTTTAATTCCAGGCCTAACTTACTGTTCATTTGAATTTTCTCCACCAAACAGATAAGCTAATGGACAAGGCCATCTCTTGAACTGTACAGTATAACTGATGTACACCAATATCCTGTATGTGTAGTTAGGCCAAATTATTTTAAGTAATTATGAATCCTAGTTAGGAGGCTTTTCAAAGTCTCAAAGCTTGATATACTTAACACAATGTCATCGGAAAATTGGAGCATCCAAAAGGATGTGTGTTATTACAAATAATGGATAAAAACGTTGAACAGAACAAAACCAACAGTCAGTACAGGCAGACTTACCACTAAGTCACGTGATCACAGATTTAAAGGTATAAGGGTCCTTAGAGGTTCATGTTGTCGAACCCACTATTCCCCCATTTTCCACATGAGGAAACTAAGCCATTGTATTTAGGGTGGGAAGAACCACATACACAGATCCATAAATACAAAATATACAAAGCAAATACAAAGTGGGGAAAGGCCCAAAGTCCTCCTGGTTTGGCTTTGTGCCTGCCCTTGGGCCCTCCAGATCCTGAGGCACTGTCATCTGAGCTGCTCCTAAAACCTAAGGACTTTGCTTTCAGCCCTGACCTGAAACCCTAGGATTTCCAGACTTTCCCAACCTTCCAGAGACCATGTTACTTTTTCTGTTTGTATCTCTGGTCCATTCGAGGCTCAGTAGAGGAGCTGTGTAGGCAAGGAAGGCAAGGATTCTACAAGGCAGAGGTGCAGAGGAAGAACACTGTCTGGAGCAGGCCTGTCATGTCCTCCACTCTATACGGGAGCCCCCAGGGCTCTGATGCAGCCTTTCCCTCTTCTCTCTCTGCACTATCTCTAGGTGATATCATCCTCCCAGAGGAACCCCAGAGCTCTCTATCCATCCCTCAGCATCACACAGGTATCTCAAACACAACATATACAAACTGCTCTTCTGCTAACCTCCCAGGTGCTGGCAAAGGCACCACTCCTTCCACTACCAGGCTTGAAATCAGTGCTTACCCTGACCCCTGGCACAGACGATGCACTTGATAAAGGCACTGAGCTTCAAGTCTCCCTCTGCTCTTTATTCCCATTCACCAACCTTAAATTTCCAGTTAGTCAGAGTACAGTCAAATCGATCATTACTTCCTGTACATTTGCCCCTTTATCTCTACTTATGCAGCCAAGTTCACACTCTCATCAACTCTTACCTAGACAATTACAATAATTTCCTCCTTCACCTCCTTGCACCCAGCAGTTCAAATTCTCCAATCCACCCTACCAAACCGATATTTCTAACACACAGGTCGAACTAAGTCACTCCTACGGCTAAAGAAGTTTCAGTGGCTCCCTACTGCCTCTAGGATAAAATAAAGACCCCTCTCCAGAGGCAGCTAGGCGGTATGGTGGATAGAGCTCTAGACTTAGAATCAAGAAGGGCTGAGTTCAAATCCAGCCTCAGATACTTCCTAGCCAGGTGACTCTGAGCAAATCACTTAATCCCTGTCTGCCTTAGCTTCCTCAACTATAAAATGTGGATAAGATCACCCTCCTTCTAGACTTGTTGAGAGAATAAGACGACATAATATTTGCAAACCATTTCACAAACCATTAGGCACTACAAATGCAAATCTTTTGAGGCTGACTGCATATTATTTTACCTCATCAACTATAACTCAGCCTAGTTAGCCTACCTGCTGCTCCTTCTACAACACTTCTCATGCATAGAGACTGTCCACACTCCCTCCTCATCTCCACCTCTAGGAATCCCCAGACCCCTCCAAGATGCAGCTCAAGAGCTGCTACACTGAGGAAGCCTTATTGGACACCTCCCCATTATTCATGCCTCACCACCTTGAAATAACGTTCCATGTACTTTGTATATTTTTTGTATTTACTTATCTGTATAGAGCATAAGCGCCTTGGAGGGCAAAGATTGCTCCCCTAGGAGGGGTTTAATAAATGCTTGTGGAATTGCAGAGTGGTTGTGCCAGACGCAATGACGAAGTCCAGGCATATGTTGCTCTGGGATTCATTCCCCTGAACTGCAGGGTCAGCAACCTTGTGAGAACAGGAAACCACACAAGTTTCGCCTGTCTCTTCCTGAGGAATCCAGCTAACCTCTGAGAACCACGTGGGGCTGCTTTTTCTAGGTGTGCAAAAGCCATTTTTTAAAAATAACAAATGGAAGGGAGGAAGACGCAAATACAAAAGAGAGAGTCTGAGCCCTGAGGCAAGATAACACCAATGGGAGAGCAGGGGCCCAGGAAGAGAGCTTGGGGCTGGAGACTCGATCCATGGAATTGACTTGGTTATTTCATCCAGAGCCAGGGGCTGCCCCTGGGGCAGGGGGGGGGCGCTGGCGGGCGCCAGAGCAACTGGATCTCCAGCTGGGAGAGAGCAAGAGCAAGGAAGAACAACCAGCAGCAAGCGAGATGTGGTCAGCTGTCCTCAACCAGGACAACACGGCTCCAGGCTGAGAAGTGAAGGCTAGTTGGGAGGCTATCACAAATAAGCCAGGAGACAGTAACA